AAAAAAAAAAAAAAGACAACCCGATATGGTATTTGTGGAACTTAGATACAGAGAAAGTCTCAAAAAGTCTCCAATCATGCAAAAAAAAAAAAAAGAAAGAAATCATCATTTCAAAAAAAACAAAACAAAAAAAAAACGAATTTGTTGCTTATCGCTGTTTTGGGGAAAAACTGTAACTAAAGCCACAAGATGGGCAACGTGTGTCATGAAACACTCGCTTCGTTTCATGACATAGTTCTGCTGCGGTCGGTATGGAAACAGCCACAAACCCCACCCCCCCCAAAAAAAAACAAAAAAACAAAAACGGTGTGATTTGAATCACCACCAGTGTGTTTGTGCTCCCTTTTTCCATTGTGAAAAGCTCGTCTCCTTCAATGGTTTTTACCTTCAAACTATCCCGATTGGCTTCAGGGAGCAGGAGGACCAGCAGGTTCAACGCTTGCAGCTGCTGCTTCTTGGTGGGCAGCTCTGAAATACACAACACCACACGTTAGGGAGGTTAGTGCACTGTGTAAAGCTCATAGAGGGAAACCATACAGTACGAGATATGGACAAGAGTGCCGGTGTACGACTTAATCGAGCGATTCAAGAAGGTCCGCCTTGATCATTTTTATGTCCCAGCCCCCCCCCCCTTGGAGGCAGCTCATGAAAAGGAACAAATACGTCCATGTCCCAATACTTCAATACTCCGTCCACCTCAAGTTCCTGAATACCGTATTGGCCCGGATATAAGACGGCCCTGATTATAAGACGACCCCCTCTTTTTCAAGACTCAAATCTGAAAAAAGACTTTTTGAACACCAAATTATTTTTTATACAGAAAATAATTACAGTACATGTGAAACAAATGATTATAACAATATCTTTGAGAGAAAACGCATGTTATTTTGCCTCATTCAAATCTTAATATCTGAACATTTAAATACGTAAACTAAAATGCAATCCCATTCGTAAATGAATGGCTTCTGGTTTTTGAAATGTAAATTACATCATAACTTCTCCTCAGCTGCCGGTTAACCTGGCCGATCTTCGACCCACTTTTCTCCAGATTGTCGCTACGTTTCTCCATTTTCTGTTATCTCTTCTAGTATTTTCTTCTCTTTTCTTTCTTACCGCTATTTTTTATTTTTCTTCTTCGTGCTATCGCTATTTTTATTTTTATTCTTCGTGACAGGGGTTCACTTTGGCCTGGGGGGTCAAGTTCAGTATTCGCTTCAATGATATCTGGCGCCATCTAGCGTCGTGAATGGGTATAACGTGTAGACCTTGAAAATAAGACGACCCCCACTTTTTCAGTCTTATTTCAATGCAAAAAACATTGTCTTATATTCGGGCCAATACGGTAGTTTGGTATGCGCGTACTGTTGACGGCGATGAAGGCGTTGAGGTACTCGACGGTCAGCAGAGGGTGCGGCAGCTCCCTGATGAACAACTTGAGGAGGCTGGCGGCGTCGTGCTGCTTCAGCTGGTCCCACGGGAACGTGCCGTCGTAGAAGCAAGACTCCAGCTCCTGGTACAGAGACTGAGTCGCAGGACAACCGGCGGGTGAGTTACGCTTGGCCAAACCGGCGTGTTGATGGTCGCTTGTAAAAAATGCCAACTACAATTGTCTACCTTGACTCTTGTGGCGGCGCCGGAGATTCGAAGCAGGCCCTCTGTGTCTAATCCGTCGTCCTCTTCGATATGACTGATAAGCTACAGAGGACAGAACACGTTCTAACATGTGCGCATCAGATAGAGGCCATCCACATGAAGAGTGAATTAAGGAGGCGGGCGTGCTCACCCTCTGAAGGATGAAAGGCACTTTGGTACTGGCTACCCTGCGCTGGTCCTGATCCAGTAAAGTGACGAGAGGAACCCCAAACAAACCGCTTTCTACATTAAAAACCAAACAGTGACCAAAAAAATAAAGCCACATACTATTCAGCTCGACACGACTGTTTTTGTGGATATACCGTACAGTATTTGTGCAATTTTTGAGCAGATTCTACTTTTTTTTTTTTTTATAAAAACAATCCACCATTGTGCAAGGTGGCCCCAAAAACCGGACATGATTTCTTCGTCTTGTAACAGTTTTTTTTTTAAAAAAAACAATCCACCGTTGTGCAAGGTGGTCCCAAAAACCGGACATGATTTCTTCGTCTTGTAACATAGGCGCGACAATGTTTTTTTTTTCTTTCTTTTTTTAACTTTCTTCTGTTAGTGGAAAAAAAAACGAAAGTTTGTTTTTTAATGAGCAGGGTGGTGAGAATTTCAGTCACGTCAGTTGAATTTTGGATTGCATAATAATCCAGTTAGCTGGATGTGTCCTATCATTTGCCAAGATGGCAGCTATCCATCCATGGCCATTAAAACATCAAAGGTAACTACAATTGTAAAACTTCGGTGGACTCGGCGTAAAATCTAATTTTGTGCGGGTGTACCTTTCGTCTTCACTTTGACAGCCTTGTGCGCTTTCAGATCGATGCCACCCGTGTCGAAAAGAGCCGTTATCTCCACCAGTGCAAACCTTCGTACCTGGTAGGACGCAATAAGACGACATGATGATATTCGCATGGTTTCAATAACGGGGCGTGGGGGGTACCTACCTTTTTCATATCCGGCGGAGACAGGTGCCCAACTCTGGTCTGACCGGTTTTATCTTTGAGTAGCCTGAAGTTCTAGAGAGGACAATATATTTTTATTGAGGATCGAAAAATAATTTCATCGAAAGTGAATATTGTTTTAAAATACAGGGTTCCCTCACTTATCGCGGTAAATCTCCATTAAAAGGCCAGAGAAGTAAGCGCAGTGTTTCAGGTTGAGCCCGTGTATTATCGGCGGAGTTGTAGTAATGGGCCAGAGGAGTTGTAGTATGTTTCGTAAACGCAGTGTTTCAGGTTGAGCCCGTGTATTATCGGTGGCAGCCGAAGTATAAAGCGGCAACGAAAAGAGCACTTGTCTCACCGGTAATTTATCATCCGGCGAGTTGGGGCTCATTTTCGCCACGCGGTGAGGTTGGTTGTCCCTGTAAGAGAGCGCCTGCTCTGAGAACGCCACGTCCACGTTCATGACCGTCTCCGGTTCTGTCAGGCGGAAGGAGGACATTTTCGGGAACATTACCACACAAGTCGTGCGGTAAATAGAAGTGTCTGAGTATGTCAAGAGGCGCAATTCCATCTGAAATGTTTTACTAACAACTTTTGATTTGCTTGGGAACAGTTCAGAATTTTCCCCTCGGTTAAAAGCAATCGCATTAAGGCTGCTGTTTATGTATGTGTGGAACACTTTTGTTGTGGAGCTGAGTAATGACCGTAATGCATTAGTGTGTGTGTTACCGGTTGAGCTGGCGTCACTTGGCGGGCTCTCACTTCCCTTTTGGACCTCACGTGGCTCTTTGTCCTGCGGCGGGACAAAATGCGGAATCCTGCTCAAGATGTTCACCGGTGCCCACTTGTATATGCTTATATATTAACCTCTCTGTTAAAAACAGTCTATTGTAAATATTTGACTGGAAGCGCTTTAGAGTAAATCACAAATGGTAAACTTTGTCATCATGTCACGGGTTAGCTGGAGCCTATCCGAGATGCTGAGAGGCAGGGTACACTTTGGCTCATGAACATCTATCTACTTACTGAACACATCTTAACATGGGTGTGCCACAAGGATCATTTCCAGCCCCCCTCCCCATTTTGTTCTTTACATGGATATTAACTGAGTGTGTTTGCGAGTGTGTCCCGACCTTTTCAGGCAGTCGGAATATATCCCGGACGTCGGGCAGGTGTTGCCGGTTGCACCGTCGTTGTGTCTGGTGTAGCAAGGTCAACCGCCGCTCCACCGCTGCCGCTTGTGCTCGGGTCAGTGTGGAAAGAAACGCGGCACTGTCCTCTTCCTGTCAAGCGCGACAAATTAAGAGCTCAGTAAATTATTGTTCCGTGATATATGTGATGTACAGGTGAATTGTACAGAAATTACAAACAAAATTATTTGACTGTAGAAATTAGGTTTAAAACATCATTTAATGAATTGGTATGATATGAGTTTCACATTTTGAAATTGAGCAGCTATTTTGTGTGTGTGTGTGTGTGTGTGTGTGTGTGTGTGTGTGTGTGTGTGTGTGTGTGTGTGTGTGTGTAGATGTGCATATAGTGCATGTTGAAGCAGAAAGAGAAAAATAAACTGGTCGAATGAGGGCGAGATGATTTGATTGACACCTGTTCCTGGTCGGCTGGCAGTGAACCATCAAACAATCGCGCTAGGCCCGCCTCCATGAGCCACGCTTCCTCCTGCTCGCCTTCTGGAAAAGACAGGCCAATAAAAATATGACAAACTGAACTTTTTTAGACATCTTTCCATGACAGCAGCTTAGTCACACGTAAGTATTTGACATATGACATTTCGGGGTTATGAATGTCTGAATGTAAAAAAAAAAAATTTTTTTTTTTTAATTTAGTGATTGAACCAACCAAGGTACGTATTAAAATGACCCCACTTTCAATAGTTGGGAATTCCATTGCTAAGATCTCTGTGCTAATTTTCTGAAATTTCAAATGGGCCAGCTCTGACAAACGACCAGAGGAACAACATACAGATGCAGTAAGAGGAAGTTGGGACTAATCTGTAAGAATGTGTTTGCTCCTGGGAGTAATAACCCTCATAAAAGTGCCAAAATAAAACACGGATGTCCACAAACAAAAGCAGTAGCTGAGCACGCGTCCCACCGTCGGGGTGTTTTTGCTGCTCCTCTTCCTCATTTCCACCCTCGCCTCCCCTCTTCTCCGCAGAGCGACTGATGTTCTCAACCTCTTTCCAGTAGTCATCCATCTCCAGCTCGTCCAAGGAGTCCTGCGAAAAGGTTCCACAAAGGGTTCCAAGAAGAAAATCCATCCATGCTATAAATTATAAAATTTTATTTAAAAAAAAAAAGTCATATATATATATATATATATATGATTTTTTTTTAATTATTTAAAAACATTTATACATTTCAACGCATGGTAAAATATGTCCTGCGCAAGCTTTTATCGATCAAACTTAAAAATCTAAAATGAAAATATATCAAAAACCTGAAGCGCACCAAAAACCAATTTTCTCAAAAGCCGACAATGCGCCTTATAATCCGTTGCGCCTTATAAATGGATCAATATTCTGATTTCTTGGACGTAGTGTTTTAACTGTTCTGTAAAGCGCTTTGTTCAGCTGCAGCGGTTGTGAAAGCTCGATATAAATAAAGCTGTATTGTATTGTAGTGTATTTCCTTTAGCGTAGCTCCATCTAGTGGATGCATAATGCAACCGCAGCTTCGATTGTATCTTCTATTCTATGTGCCTTATAAAGTGGTGCGCCCTATATATGAAAAAAGTTTTAAAATAGGCCATTCATTGAAGGTGCGCCTTATATTCCGGAGTGCCTTATAGTGCGGAAAATACGGTAAAACGGCTTTAAAATTTTTTTTTCTGTATGCGTTTTAAAATAATTATGTCGCATCAATTTCAACCTATTATTTTCACTCCACAAAAACATAGACAGTATTGTTCTGTCACTACACATCGATGGAATAGTAATAACTAACCAGTACGTTGTGGTCAATAAATAATTTAACGAAAATTGGATCACACTGCTGATTTCTCACATCACTGGGCTAGATCAGTGCTGCTAAAAGAGAAACAGATTGCGGTTCGGTACAAGAGCGTATACCTGGGAGTTGCAGCGTTGACATGGCGGCCGCGGTCGCAACCTGGTATGAGGACTGCGTCTGGGGCTGGAGCCAGGGTTGGAGCACACGGAAGGCCTGGGCCGCTGGCTCTCCGCACTTGGGTTGTCCTCGGGAAGAGCGCTGTGATTCTGCTGGACGCTGTAGTGGCCTGTCCTTCGGCTGCGAGACACAAACACACCAAGTTGCGGGGGGCCGTACTTGAGCATAGCTACACCATTCATCCCGATTAAGGAGGTCAAACTGTCACTTGTGATCTCTGGACCGAAAAGTCACTTTTGAAGAATTGACTTAAACTTTGCGCCCTGGTTTAGCAGCACAGTGATGACATAGATAGACCTCACGCCTCATAAAAGATTGTAGCCTTTCATGGTCACAACAGAAAGAGAGATAACCTCAATATAAGTAAAATACAACCAAAAAAAAGTTAAAACGTTTTTTGTAGAATTTGTGACAGTTAAAAATGAAGCGATGTGTACCTACAGTTGAACCCAAAGCAACGGTCTGGCCCCTCCTGTCATCATGTACGTCTTCACCTTGGAACTCGACGCTTCTTCGGCCTTCCACTGGATTTGTCCTCAAGGCGCTGTTCTACTTCTACTGATCTCCTATCAGCTTCTCCCCCCATTGCCGACTGACTTCCTACCTTACATGACAACACGCATTCCGACCCCCTTTTTGACCGTTTCATGTAACGCAGGCCTAGCCAGGAATGACAAAAATGTCTTCGTGTTGAGATTTGTGGACCAGGGTGGCGGTTCCACCTGACGATCAGCACATGAGCAAACAGTGGGAGTTAATCATTGAACTTCATCAAAAGCCCCCACAAAAAAATACACAAATAAATGTTTGACATGGCCATAAATCGTACATAAGCACACGTTAAAAAAAAAAAAAAAAAGGCACGTAAACACACGTGCGAGTTTGTCCACAGGGAAGTGATTCAGATCCTCCACCCAAACAATAAATTGACGAGAGCGGACACTCGTTACTGATTCACGGCACCACCAGGCCACACAGCGTGTCGTCATTGAACGACAAAAAAGAACTTATTATGAAATGGAACAACCAACGAGTCCTACCATTTGAATCAATGACGGCCGAATACATTTTGATTTTTTTTTTTCCGAAATAAATTGGTGAATGAAACCGCCTTCATGTACCACGTGATCATGTATGCATCGAAACCGCGGACATCGGGACCATCATAAAACTTAGGACACCGTTTTCCGTCCTCTTTATTTTGTATTTCTCTCCTTCATGTTTTTTTTTTTTTTTTGTTGTCCATTAAACAGAAAACAATTGTTTTATGGTCCATTGAAGCAACGCGACACACTTGTGGTCAATGACGTGATGTTAAAGACAATAGGGCCTCTTCTCACAAAGGGAACATTTGCACCCTTGTTCTTTACGTGACGCAATGCGCTATTTTGAAATGTGGAAATGCACTCATTTGCCCTCCTTTCATTACCCGAGCGCTCCAAAAAAAAAAAAAAAAACAGGTGCCCGAAGGGTTACTTGAGTGCACGTCAAAGACCCGAGCGTGTGTTTGTAGACTTCCGCTGAGGTGACGGCGTTTGGAAACGACGAGGAGGGGCATTCGCAAACCGATGGGTCAGAATATTAGGGACACTAGCACCGGCTAATGTGATCCAATACAAAAAAAAATCTGAACGAATTATGTGTGTGTGTGTGTGTGTGTGTGTGTGTGTGTGTGTGTGTGTGTGTGTTGTTGTTCCCGTTCATATGAACAGGTGCCAGCTGTCCTCTCTTGGAAGACAGACCGCCTGTCTTTCTTTCCGTAACACACACACACACACACACACACACACACACACACACACACACACACACACACACACACACACACACAGAAAGGCACGTCTGCTCATTATGACGTCATTACACTATATTCAAGCTAACGCTACGGTATCAATTTTTTTCCTGTTGAACCTATAACTAGCTATTCACTGAAAAACTCACCTTTTCACATATTTTGTGCTTGTAAACCTCCCAGAGAAGTTACAAGATGGCGACAAAGTTATGTCTAAACAGCAAAGGAGCGGAAGTTTTAGCCTGGGTTGTTATGGAGAGTACATGTGCATGTACAGTACAGACAGATTTTTTTTTTTTTTCTAGGATCAAATCATCTGTCGGCCATTTATTTTCAAGGATAATGTAAAAAATTTAAGTGTTTAAAAGTTGAACTTCAACTTCCTGGCATGTTCTTGGACATCTGCAAAAATGTTCTGCCAATCTCGCCATTTCCAGAGGAAACAATGACCACAAAAATAGGACACACACACACACACACACACACACACGAGCGCACCGCACGCACGTACTGCGGGAGGCAAGACAAAGGCAGGCTGTAATGTGATGCTGTTTTTTTTTTTTTTTTGCTGGTTAGAGGGACAAGCCATCTGGAACACATGCCCCCACATGCACAACTGGAGCTAGCTTTGTTAATTTCTTTCATTTTCCACGGCAGTCATTTTGACATCATAGATAACAACATGGCACGTATACACGTGGTTAGCAATGACATGAATTAGGATTCCATTCCATTTCGGATGAAGAGAGGTCAACTTGGATTCTAATGTCGTAAAAATCGTCATTGTGGCGCGACTAAAACAATGAAAGGAATGGCGATCGAAAACTTCCACATAGTGTTAACACACTCTAAAAAGCAGGTGTGGCCATTTGGACTTTCGCTCAAGAGTTTACAGTACGGTTACACACACACACACACACACACACACACACACACACACACACACACACACAAGTGTACATATGCCTGCTCGTGCGCACACATGCACATACACACACACACAAAGTCAGCTCCATGCCCGCTACACGTAAACAAGTCATTTATAAATAAGAGTCTCTGAATGGTCGTTATGAATATTGCTCAAAAAAATAAAAATAAAAAATACTTGGAGTTACATTGCGGCGTTGAAGTGTTCCCTTTACTTTTTTGAGCAGTTTCCAAACTTAGTTCCTGTGTGACAAATTGGCAAATTTAGGCTAACGGCTGAAAGACTTTACTGTGTGTTCCCCTTTATTGCGCGCATCATCATGTGACACAAACAATGAGCAAGTGACAACAACAAAGAAAGAAGCAGAACACATGGGTGCATTCATGAATGAATGCATGCGCGGAGGTCACAAGACCCGACCAGTTTATGGGTGCCTATGTTTTTTGTTGTTTTTTAAGTCATTGTTTGTTTTGCTGCTCCATGCGTTTAAGTAGCGGCTGTTTGCAGATTAATAATTACTGAAAAATCGATAGCATTTTAGGTTTTAAGATGGCCGACTTTGATCCGGCCAAATTATGTGGTGTGGTTAAACATTCTGGTGTTTAAACGTGCAATGTTTCATTCTTTTTGTTTTGTGTGTCTGCTTTACTGAAAACTTTCAACTGGGAGCTACAAAAAATAAATAAAATTGAAGCACACATGCTTAGTTAGCCTCTTCTGGAAAGTGGAAAGTGAGAACAAGCATTATGGAATCTTTTTAAAAGTATGTTTTGGTGTCTTTGAAGAGGTCTACCTTAACTGCTGCTCACTGAACTGAGGTCTCATGTGATTGACGGGGCCTATTTTACCTCCAAACTGTTTTCTCAATGACGATACGTCATGTATCTGCGGACTGGTTGTTACTCATTTAACAGCTTTACAGATGACCTTGGAACCGGCCTGCTTGAGATAATTGGGACATGCTCGTAATGCGCCCCGCCCACTTTATTAGGTAGATCTGCACAAACTAATGCGAAAATGATCAATCAACCAATCACATTCACACGTGTGAACAGTTTGGAGGTTTCTATGAGTCTTAACATGAGTGTTTCGGAATGTGGGAGGAATCTGCAAGAGAGAACACGCAAACTTCACAGAAGAACCTGAGCCGGGATTCGAACACAGAACTGACTGTGATGTGGTCCATGTTTAGGGATCAAGTGCTTTTACGAGCCCCTCGTGAGGATAAGCGGCTTGGATAAAGGATGGATGGATGTTCTGCACTCAACACTCCAGGGGGTGAATATGTGCATTCCACACAGCCTTCCTGACCCCGAAGAACATTCCATTCGCATTACTCAAAACTTTTGGTTTTTCTATGATATCGTGGCTCGACAATCTTTGTCCTTGCAACTAACTTTAAGATGCAAGTGTGTATTACAAAAGTTGCTGATAGGGAAGTTTCAAAGGAAATGCATTGCCCGAGGCAGGAGGGGGGGGGGGGACTTGCTGTCTTGCAACTTTTAACAAGTTGCTGCGGTCAACTGTTAAGTCGAATGACTCACTAATGATGCTTGTTGCTGACGTTCCATAAGCAAGCAGTAACACGGTGCTACAGCTAAAGGAGAAGAAAGTAAGCACGAATCCCACCTGGTGGCCTGAGGGTCGTTCTCTCGACTCGGAGGACACGCGATAGACAGTCCAGGCTGGGCCAAGAGTTCCGCGTTGCTGTGGTAACCCGTCAAGACCACTCCCTGGGTCTCTTGCTGCCGACTCATGTTCTCCCCCGCTGCTGCTGCTCGGATCTACTTTACCAACGATATGACGTCCACGCGACCCTCCATCGCGAGTGTACGCAGTCCAGCCGCGCTAAACGTTACCGACGCATCGTGTGCTCAAACTTTTTCCCTTTCGCGTCCTGGTCTTCCACTCGAATAGAAGTGTGTCATCGAGACGAGGGCTGGACGTTGTTGAGTGAAAAGGGGGCTGGATCGCCAGCGCGATTGGCTGGAAGCTCAAAATACAAATTTAAGTCAGGGTGACCCCTGCCGGCCGCGGGGGGAAACAAACCGAAAGACACAGCGCTACAGTTCTCGACATTCCGAGTCTTGAAATAATACATGATGTCATGTTATGATACAATTCAGAGATAAGGAGAGAGTTCGAATTTTTCTATTTCCACTGCCTGGCAGTTAATGTTCTCCTCGCACTGTTTGTCCGGCACTTACATCGGCACCAAACGCATCTTGTCCAATGAACGGGCTGTAATGGATCACGTGGTTTGAAATGACGCGTTTCGGTCAAGTGGGATTTCGGAAGATTTGACGACAAAAGTAGGAAAAATTATAACTACTTGTCAATGTAAAATATTTGATTCGCTAATTTTTCTCCTATTTTGTCGATTCGCTTCCCATTATTTTCTTCATTTTTATTTGTGTGCTTATTGTTTACTTCTTGGCAAGACACATACAAACAACTGAATAGGATGAAATATTAATTTATAATTACCTGGCAGGCAGTCGATTTCATTTGTGACTTATGTCTCCAATAAACACATTTTGATCAATATAATTAAAAAAACGTTCGGAATTTACAGAAAATGTATTTCTAAACCTCACTGATACAACTTAAAAACAACTGACATATTTTACTCGGAAAAAAAAGGTTTATGAGGTTACAAAGTGTTTACACGAAGGATGCCTGTTGACGTTCACATCCATATTAGGTAAGGAGTGAAGCAATCGCCCCACTTTTAAAGGACACTCCTGCACAATTTGGACATGCAATCCTCCAAAACGGTGCCAAAATGAGGATACATCAGCCATAGCAAAGAAAAAATGAACAGAACAATTGCAAATCACGAGTATCCAAAATGGTTGAACACAAGTGCATTCGCATATAGAGAATAAGTGCATCTTACCTGAGGTGAAGGTACAAAGCCAGTCTGGGGACCATGTTGTCAGCCTGCGTCCAACTGTGCTGGCTCTCTCACCGAAGACGAACTTCTCGGGATGATGTCAACACACACAGACACACGCACACACGCAAGTCGATTAGCCAGAGAGGTCAATCAGATTGTCCTGCTTCTTGCCCCTCCCCCCTTTTCTGATCCGATGTCATCCCTTCTCTCGCTCTGCCCGTCTCCTTTCTTTCCCTTTCAATTTTCCACTCTACGCTCTCTTCCATCTTTACGCAACCATTAAGAGCCCACTAAGTGGTGTGGAAGACGACTGAATCATACTGAGAGCTGCATAACAACAAGCGGTTCTGCAGTTCGACTATCAGGATGGATGAAATGTATTAAATATTGCACAACTTGGATGATGACGGATGATCTAATGCGGAGGAATCTCAAATTTAATAGGCCACTGATTTGCATTCCAAAAATGAACATTGTGCACCTACTTGTGACGCCCGTGGTCCCACCTTTGCGTTGCAATTTTGGTTTCACAGGAGTTTGGTGGTTAGAACTCGTCACCACAGCGGTTATGGTTTCATAACAATGATTTATTTGTGTTTTGGCACCAACAGCCCCCCCCCCCCCCAAACCCATGAAACAATTCACACAGTATATTCAACCCATGACAAAATCAATGTTTTCTGTATGATTAACTTAGAGGGGGGGAAATAAAACATAACAAAAACAATGCACTTCTGCAAGGGAACATTTGCGAGACATCTCAAAGGGGCGCAATACAAAGTTTATAACACCAACATTTCACTCTGGTTCTGCGGTGGCTCCTCACTCGCTCGTAACATCTGCAACGGATGTGCACATTTTCACTCAGCATGATGTGAAATATGGACAACAATTGGAATGTTATTCAAAAAAAAAAAAATTAAAGGGGGGTATCTTACCATCTCCTGCGGCCTCTTAATAGCCTGGGAACATCTTGCCGTACACGTCTTTCTCTTTCTCCGAGCTGTCTTTGTAGCACCTGCGACACGAGAGCAGCCAACAGAGGATTAGAATCGAAACATTTCGACCCGTTTTCCAAATCTGTTCTGTTTTTTGAAAGCTTCAGTTCCCCAAAAATTGCTTACATTGTCACGGTCATCAGGAGGTTGTTGATGTCGCGGTCAAAAGGGCTTCTCTCCCGAGCCCTGATGAGGCAACTGTAAGCGCTCTCGTAGTCCCGCAGCTCCACGTACGCCTGACGTGGACGACAGTGCGCTCAAACAGACGAATCGACTTTTGTCTGCCGTTTGCTAAGCGACGTTTACATCATCGACAAAGAAGCATTGGCACTCGCAATCCACACCTATGGACAATTTAAGAGTCCTTCATTCAACCCAACATGCTTGTTTTTGGAACGTGGGAGGCTGGAGAACCCCAAAAAAACATATAAAAACAAGTGTTTCCTCCAGAGATGGAGAAAAATCTGATATTTGCTCTTTTAAAAGGCTCTCTGTTGGAATTTTAAACAAAATACTATCGGGGAAAATATTGCAAAGCAGTAAAATGCTCTGTCTGGAACTCACTTCTTTATTATTGCATACTTCAAGGAACCAATGAAGAAGTTATTTTTTAATTGTATATATATATATATATATTTTAAATTAAATCAGCCAATTTATCCGTCTTGGTCAGGTCCTACATTTTCTGTTATCCTTCAAGAAAAATTTGAGAAACACAAAATTCGCTTCGTCCACCGATGGCTTACTAAGGGCATATTTTTTTCCATATTTGAACAAAAATTTTTACCAATTTAAAAACATGGAAACAAAGTCTCACCTGTGCACAGCGGTAAAGTGCTTTGGTACTGCTGCAGTCGACCCCCAGAGCCTTCTTGGCGTATTTGAGAGCTTTCCGCGGTCTCTCCAGACGAATTGCCACGAAGGACAAATTCAGATAAAGGGGCAGCAGCGCCGCATGGATCTCCGCCCGTCCGGCATCGCTGTAAATCTCCCTGTTGGTCAACAACGCCAACGCCTGTGCAGAAACAAATTTTAACCTCACGAAAAGATGATGTAATGTTTTAGTTTATTGTCATTCAAGTATAAATTCAAGTTAACCACTGTAGGATACAACTACCCTCACCTGTTTTTTTTTTTTAAACAACCAGAGATGCCACAAGGTGGCGTCAAAGCCCCATCTGATAGAATAGTACTTTACTAGCAAAAAAATGAATAAAAATCAAAAAGTACACTGAAATGTCACCTTCACCTGCTTGTAATGCTCTTTGGCTTTTTCGTAGCGACTCTGATTGAAGCATCTGTTGCCTATAGTACGAAGCGTGCTGACCACTTCAATCAGGTTGGAAAATGGACACTCATTCTGCTCCTCCTGAAGACCGAAAGATCTTTGTGTGAAGTAAACTGCATTCACAGTAATAAGAAACGTAAACAGGAAAAGCTTAAAAATAAAATCTTCAATTATTTATTGAGTTAGAAAAATCCCTTCTGATTTCATTTGAATTTCTTTGCATTAGCTTATTGAAAGATCGTGAGAATGACATTTTGTTTATATTCTCTTATTTTAAACAGTATATCAATTCTCTTTGACACATATTCTTTGTCCTCTGTGAAGAACAAAAATTACTGCTGGGGAGTTGTGACTAGGTGTCCCACTCATGAATACTTTTAGAATCGACTATCCTGTTAATTATTTCATCAAACCCACTTAAAAGTTAACAATATTCTCGCGGCCGTTTAGCGGGCGGGAAACACGCTGTTGCACCCTACCGCAGTCAGTTGGACAAATCCGTCCACTTGTCCTGTGTTGAAGACATCGTGGATTTGGATCTCGAACAAAATGCGGGCAGCAGCGGGGATGAGCGGCGGGCAGCCCATGTCTCCATAGGCGTAACGCGGCTGCAGGAGGAAGCGGGAGGACTCGCCTTTGCGCATGGTCAGCAGGCCCATCTCCATTCCCATCAGAGTCATGTCTGTTCGAATGAAGGCCACACAGTTTAGAGTTGACAAGCCACAACATTCTCACTCATCATGTTTGTTAGCTACCTCTACCCAGCTTCATGAGTCGGGGATGCTTGAGGCGAGTAGTGGTCTCAAACGGCTGGTCAGAATATTCCAGGAAGCCGGAGTAATGTACTGTAGAGAAACACAGGACAGAATAGTTGAGAAAAAAATAAATTACTGTTTACAATTTGGACTCACTGAAAGATCAGTAATAATTACTCAAGACTGAAGCACTTGGGGACACAGGGGGGCCATATCCAGGGGAGATCACCTCTTTGAAGATTCCTCCATTACCCAGGATATCCTCCATCTGCTGCTGTAGGCGGTCAAATGGACTCTAAGAAGGCACAGAGACAGTTAAGCAATTAGTAACACAAAAAAAAAAAAACCACACAAAAATCAATGAATCTATTTATTTCTCATATTTGTTTTAACACTTCCTGTTTCTCCAATTTGAAGGATTTTTTCTCTTAAACATTTGACTCTACTTTAATAAGTGAGAATATTGTCATGTTCGTTTTCTCTATTTTTTTATCTAGCTTTGAAATTAGTTTTCCCACGATGGAGCAGAAGTTGTAGTCTACAATTCAGTTCAGGGTGATGGTAATTTTTTCACACAATGGCAGAACCGTTAAAATTCTAAAGTAAAAAACGGAGAATTTATAGTATTCGCGGTATTCATGCATACACGTAAATAACTTTTCAAGGATAGAAATGGCGTAACAGAAACTGTTAGTAGTTAAATTTAGACTACTCAAACGTTAGCTTCGTTACCATATCGCGGGCTAACAGACAAAACTCACCAGATCTGGCTCCTCAACTCCGAAAAGGCACTGGAAAAGCTTTCGCTCTCTGTTCGTTGACATCTTTACTGCGACGAAAAAGTCGTTTTAGTCGTTTCCCAAAATGAAGTTGTATTTCTTTTGGCGACTTTTTACATGCTTTCGATACCCGCGTTGGACGGCGAGCCACGTGATCAACCCAGGAAACGCTGAAGACACGTGTCTACAAAAAGGTGTTTTAAAAACTTTCACAAAAAGTAAAAGAACAAAAAGTAATAAGGATTTGAATAAAAACGGAACACGAGTGACACTGTGCAATTTTATTCAATGTATAGTATAAATTGATCTACAGTGATGACGTAATTGTGTTCAGACGGGTAAAATGGGGTTTCCTCATTAAAAACGCATGGACCAACACACGAAAAATTCACGTTGAATTTTCCCTTCGAGGGATAAAACAAATTAAAATTAAATACAACATATGAACGATTGTCACTGTTTGCAAGATACACATTTCTCTGAACATAGTTCAAATGAATCACAATATAGTATCCATCCATACATTTCCTGTCATAATATGTGTATACCACCACCTAAAATGATTCAGTTTAAGAAACAATACAAAAATAAGTATAGCTGTACAAATTTTTCTTTTCATTTACAAAAGTATTGGGTCGTTTGTACAAGAGGGGGATATTATTTGACATCTAATGTTGTGTATGCTTTACAAAAAAATAAAATAAAAAGCAGAAACACTGGCAAAGCATCTTGAGCCCTTGTCAGAAGTTCTGAAGCTCGGTTGGGGAGATGAAGTTACTCCTGAAGAGTTTGTAGGCCAGGATCTGTCCTCCGAATATCATCATCACCAGGCCTGAGCCTAAACGAGGAAGCCAATGTGAATACTGAAAACTTGCAGAGTGGTTAATGTACTTAAAAAAAACAAAGAGAAACTTGTACAGCCAAAATAGCGGAAGAAAATAGCCATCTCACCCAATGCGATCCACCAGTGCTCGGTTGAGGGGAAATCTGACATCACTGGAGGAGGGAAAAAAAGGGACTTTTAAAGAGTGCGATAACTCTCAAATAATCTCAGAAATGTGGATTATGTTTCGTATAGTTTTATGATCCGCATGGGATGATTTGAACTCATTTCTGTGAGTTGCCACGGTTTACAGAGCTTTTGGTTGTAATTGCAAATTGTAAATGCAATTTCATTAATGGTATGTAAGGCTCATTATATCCAATTACATAACCTGACTAATCCCTCTGTGTGTGTTTGTGTCTTTGTGTGTGTGTGTGTGTGTGTGTGTGCGCGCGCGCGTTCACCCGCGACAGTCATGGCCACATGCAGCAGCGTGACCGTGATGGCGTAGTCCCACACCCACTCCTCCACGATCCAGGCGAACACCAGGCCCCCCAGAACATACGTCACTTCTGTGGAGATGACACTGACTGTCGACAAACAAGAGACAAGGCGGGCGGACTTGAAGGCATAGTCTGGAAAATCAATGTTCCAGTGGGAACAACTCGTGCGCACAAGGCAATGCCGCCATGTCACGAGCTGAGTTGTGAGCATTAAGGGACCCCCCCCCACCCTTCAAAAAAAAAAGACGTCATTTTATTCATTATATATATTTTTTTTTATTCATCGGCAGGTAAATGGGTTGTCAAAATTTCACTCTAGCAAACATTGGAATTGAAATTGGTGTTAAAAAAATAAAATAAAAGAAAGAAAAAATAAATAAGTCAATCAATCCATTAGAAGTTGAGGTTTGAGGGTTCTCCAACAAAAGAAACTACTCACCCAGGTATTTGGGGTTCTGCCATGATGGTTGTGTGGTGTAGTCAAAGGGTGCCAACAGACTGTTGATTTCATGAACCCTGCAGACAAGTAAGTCAGTTTTACAGGAAAAAAAAAAACAAAAAAAGAAAACTTCTGATTTGGCAACTTTGCAGTCTCCTAAACCGTCCCCGTTTGTTTGTGCACCTGAGCAGGCCGATGCAGAGGCTGACCACCATGTAGTAGAGTGAGTAGAAGCACACCATGCACATCAGCAGGTTCTGCAGGACCACCTGAGGGAAAAAAAAGTGAAGGCAAAATATTGGCCACCGCTGTCAAGACATGGTCTCTCCGTAATGCGTCCTTTCTCACTTGCCGTGCAGTGACGCAACGTGACAGTCAAAACCCATAATGTAGGAATCCAAACGTCGCCTAATGTGCACTTTGTTATGTTCTCTGATTGTACACCAGGTGGCAGTGTTGCTAAAAAAATCCTGTTGAGATGAAATAGTTAAGAAAATACAGTATTAGGCTACACTCCGGCCTTGTTATTTTGCCGACACCACATACTTAACCCGGTTATGAATGACTAAAGAGACGGATGAAAACCCACGTCCGTCCGTCCTTAGTTCATCCTTTTAAAACAACTTCTCGTCCTCCATCCCAAAAATGGGCGTCCTGGACGGGGTTTCATCGAAAATTAAGCTGCTATTACTCTATTCTATGATGGATAACTATGTGTTGCTGGCATAGAGGGATGAAACTTCCATCTAAATTTTCCATGGTCGGCAAGCTAACCTGCAGGTGGTGTACCGTATTGGCCCGAATATAAGACGGCCCTGATGATAAGACGACCCCCTCTTTTTCAAGACTCAAGTTTGAAAAAAGATTTTTTGAACACCAACTTAATTTTCATGCAGAAAATAATTACAGTACATCTGAAACAAATGATTATAACAATATATTTGAGACAAAAAGCATGTTATTTTTCCTCATTCAAATCTTAATATCTGAACATTTAAATATGTAAACTAAAGTGCAATCACATTCGTAAATGAATGGCTTCTGATTTTTGAAATGTAAATTACATCATAACTTCTTCTCAGCTGCCGGTGAACCTGGCCGATCTTCGACCCACTTTTCTCCAGATTGTCGCTACGTTTCTCCATTTTCTGTTATCTCTTCTAGTATTTTCTTCTCTTTTCTTTCTTACCGCTATTTTTTATTTTTCTTCTTCGTGCTACCGCTATTTTTATTTTTATTCTTCGTGACAGGGGTTCACTTTGGCCTGGGGAATCAAGTTCAGCATTCGCTTCAATGATATCTGGCGCCATCTAGCGTCGTGAATGGGTATAACGTCTAGACCCCGAATATAAGACAACCCCCACTTTTTCAGTCTTATTTCAATGCAAAAAACACCATCTTATATTCGGGCCAATACGGTATTTTAGTGGAGACCAGGCCACCGGCGTGCGTGTGCATGTTGGTCCGGAAGTGGCTCCACAGCTGAGCCAGCGCTAATTCACTTAGCGGCTTCTAAACACATCAGACAACCCCGCCGGCTTGTTTTCCATCTCCTGACTGGACTCCACTTCCCATTAGTGGACATATATTTTAAATGAACTCCTTGCATAACTTCATTTTTACCAAACGCTGCCAGGAAGTCTTTGCCAGAGCTACTTGTCACTGTGCGCTATCAATAAAGATCAATAATCCATAATGAAACAAGTTTTTTTTTCTTTTCTCTTACCCAGGTGTCACTGGGCGTGGCCTTGAGCGAGACGGCTCCATGGCGCTTGATGAGAGTGAATCCACAACATCGACAGCAGTAGTCCAACAACATGAATGGCCGTGGAGACAGCGCGACAGAGCACTTTCGACCTATATGTGGTCATTTGTGCCTGCATCAGAGAGAGAGAGAAAAAGAGAGAGGGAGTGAGGGGGGTGGATTATTCAAAATGGGATTACGACTAAGAAGTCTGAGGAAATTCCCGGGAGGGATCTCAAGAGAGAGATATTGAAGCCGTTCTCTCATCTCCTTTTTCCTCAAATACTTCAGCAGCGTGTGGATTGCGATTATTGTGTGAACAAACTTGTTATTATTATCTCCTTCCAAACAATTTATCTGAAGCACATCGCTGCAATTTCAAAATGATTCAATTTTTTAAATTATTATTGCAGAAATTCCGTTAACCCACAATTCAATATTTTTGGACAAAATTTCCTCATTCTCAATGGCACACACACTACCATGTTATACTATATGACCAGTAGATGACAGCAAAGACTTGATGATAACCAAACACAAGAGTGTCTCCTTTTTGTCCTCACTAGTAAGACATGTACTGTACACTGTATAGTAGTATGAGATTTATGCACAAGTATGACAATTTAGTTTTCAGCCAGTAAACAGTTATGCCGAACTCATAACATGTGGCTCCCCGACTAGTATGCCAAACCCACTAGTAAGTGGGCAGACTAGACTAGGACATGGACCGGAACAATTCCGTTCTGTTTTGACTTTTGACAGCACGAAAGTTACACGTAATGTCATTTTTCTCCCCACGATGAAATTTGATCAATTTCCCGAAAGTCACCCAATTAGCAAAATCCCAACGGCAGCTTCGATAATCGCGGTGTAACAGCCCTTTGAAGAAGGGCATGTTAAACACATCCATCCATATTCTACACCGTTTATCCTGAACAGGGTCGCGCGAGGTTGCTGGATTAGGGATAGACCCAGATGACTTCGGGCGGAAGGCGGACTACACCCTTAACTGGTCGCCAGTCAGTCACAGGGCAGCATGATAAACCCCATTAGCTTAATGCTAACATATATAGCGAACATAACTAAGAGCGAGCGAGCGAGAGAGGTGTGATAATCATATTCGATCAAGAAGCTGCAAAAAAAAAAAAAAAAAAAAAAAAAAACGAACATAACTAAGAGCGAGCGAGCGAGAGAGGTGTGATAATCATATTCGATCAAGAAGCTGCAAAAAAAAAAAAAAAAAAAAACACCTGCAGCAGCATCATTTGGAGCAAATAGCGATGCTGGCGCCTTTGAGGTTATAATGCGGCTGCCACGGTAACATGCATCTGCGTAACCATGGAGTTCGGGGTCCAGAGGACGCACAGTGTGAGCATCACAGTGGGCTACAAGGAGTTATCCTTCGCCCACCGGGCTGTGGCGGTGTGACATTTCGTTCCTCCACATTATGTGGCATCAACAGTTAAACAGTTTGAACATGATTATGAATTATTCAATCAGGTGTGTTTTGCGGCTCGGCCACCGGATGGCAGTATAATTCAGTCATGACACGAAAGATAAAGACTTTCACAACTACTGTACTGTGTAAATGACTCATTCAAATGCAGCAATAATATATATCTGAAATACATAGTCATTTTTTTAGAGGATAAAGAATATATGCCTGAGTAATGGTTCTTTTTTTTGTATTTGTATACATTTGCAATAAGTTTTCAATTTCAATTATGTCTTTGAAATTAATTTTTGTGATGTGTTGATAGACTTAAGCAAAGTAGTTTTACCCCCCCGCCGCAAAAAAAAAATATATATTGAATCTTTTTTTACTGCATTGTTTTATCTTTGTCATTGAAAATGTCATTTTAAAAGTTGACCTCCAAGATAAAAAGAGAGTGAAAGAGCATCCTTTGAAAATCAATTAATCCCACTGGGGGGGGGGGACGCCG